CTATTTTAATGTTAAGAAGCACAGATGCTACAGATGTAGCTGAAAAAATCAAATATTTAACGGCTATTTCCGATAGAACTGGAGTAAACTGTCTATCGAGCGAACCGTCGATGACGACAGTAACTCAAGTTCATAAGATGCCTAAGCAATCAAAATAACTTGAGGTTTATATTAACATCGAAGCACTTGTTTCGTCGTTTTCTCTATTAGTTCACATGCGCAGACAATTAATACATCAAATCGCATAACTTTTACGTATCAAAATCCACTTCAAACCATTATTTAAACGATAATACAGGAGCAACAATCCGTCGACAGTCAAGTTCCCGCCAAAACACACAGTAAAGTAGCACTAAGTTTCGTATATCATAGTAATTTAAATACCACAGAGATATACTATACAAAATTACATTTCTTTTTAAGACGATAAGCAAATAATTAAACTGGGGAAGAATTAGAAGCATATTATAGTGTAAATGAATAAATTACAATAGATTGAGTATTAGTAGTTTAAATTATTTAAGAGAAAACATAAAAAATAAAAACTTTTTATTTAAAAAAAATTTCGACTGTCGATATTCTATATTTGCTTTGCCGCGACCATCGTATAGCTTCGTCATCGAGCGAACGCGCTAGAATTGTGCAAAAATAATAAAATAAACAAACAACTAGAATTAATAATTAAATCATTTGAATACTATATAACATAAGGTAATTGTTTAACAGTAACATTGCAGAATGACACTGTTATCATTTGCACGTATAGACCACCTTGTTTTTCTAAGCCTACAAACTACATTGACTCATTAGGTAACCTACTTCAGAACCTACGCAGCTCTCTCCTACTCCTCTAACCTCTCGCTATCAGCACGCAATATTATCTTGGCTGGAGATGTCAACATTGATATTCTTCCTAATCAAATATCTAGCCACGCTTGCTCGTACCTAATGCAACTGGCCTATTATGGTCTCATTCCGGGCGTCGATAAACCAACTAGATATAACACCTGTATTGACCATTTCATGATAAAAACAAACAAATGATGGCAATCGTTCGTTTTTAGTGAACTTACCGATCACTCGCCAATTTTACTGCTTGTAGAAAATATTAACTCACCTGTTCAAAATAAAAAATTGAAGTACATAAATAAAATATAGTGCTATCAAAAACGACTTAGCATTGGAAAATTGGCAAGAGTATTTACTTATAAATGACACCAACAAAGCTGCAGAAAATCTTATAGATAGAATAAAAAAATTGATTAAAAAAATACTGTTACGAGCTTGAGGTTCGTGACAATAAAAATTGCCAATAGAATTACCTAAATTAAAACTTTAATTTTCTTTACACAAATTAATACTTAAAACACCAACTGATTCACTTTATTTCGCTCCGAAGCTTCGCTTGTCTCGCCAAATTCAATACTTCCCCGATCGCATCTTGCAGCGCCTATAAATACAAATTAGCACCGATACATCCAGAATATTCAAGTAAACACGCGCAAGGGGCCGAGAGTTCGAGCGTCAGCTTCTAGAAGCTTAGTTCTTCGTTCCGAGACTAGATGGCGCTGTCGGTTGAAAGATTAGTGATGTCATTTTCTGGAAAGCTCCCCTCGCTCTCGTCCCTGACACTAGATAGCGCTAGTGCCGGATACATGACGTCGACTTATTCGTGCAACACTGCCCCCTCCTAAGACATGCTCGTCCCTAGTATTATCGGCCCCATAGTAACGCGCCAAGCGATCCACATGGACGATCTTTGCGCCTTTCTGTATCCGGTAGGTTACATCGTTGATCCTGGTTACAATCCGGTACGGGCCGTCCCATTTAACTTGAAGCTTAGGAGATTTCCCTTTGCTGCGGACTGGGTTGTGCAACCACACTAGTGAACCTTCGTCGAAGCCTTTATTGTTCATTTTGCGGTCGTACCGGGTTTTCATCTTCTCAGACATTTGCTGGCCCGATTGTCTGACGTGCTCATAAATGTCATTCATTTTGTTCCGCAAGTCATTTGCACAATCGGTTATACTGCGTGGGGCATCAGGTGGTATCCCGGTGATCAGGTCTGCAGGCAGCCGTAATTCTCTTCCAAAGTTTGCGAAAGCTAAGTAGGTACTAGGTACTAGGTACTACTAGGTACCTCTTCAATGTCTGATTAAATCGTTCTACCATTCCATAGAGCGGCGAAACACCCCCACACACGCACCACGCACACACGAGAGAAGCGCACGCAGCACGCCGCCGCACGCACGCACGCACGCAAGCACGCACGCACGCACGCACACGCACGCACGCGCACGCACGCACGAGCGGGCACCCACCACCCACACACGCACACACCGTTTGTTATAATAGTTTGTCACATTACAACTATGTGTCACTGAAACGGGGAAGATGCTGTAGCCTGTAACACAGTTTTCAACTACCACGGGCTACAGAGCTTCAATACGATTTGTTTGTAAAAGTTATGTGAGAAACAATAAATATCATATATTATTATTTTTGGGGGTATCTGTATAGTTTTCTCATCTGGTTGGTTTCTATAAATATATAATTATAAATTAAAATGAAAAGATAAATATACATAAATATTAATAAAATAAAATAAATACAAAAATACATAAATAAATAAAAGCCCAACCAGATGGAAGCCCTCGGCAGGGGAGACCAAACGGCCGAGGGTTAGGGGGAAAGGGAAAGAAACCGGCGGACGATGCGGGCAGTATCAAGGAGCACCGCCTTCTGCATTTGAGCCCGGAGCGGTCCGTCACGGAGTCCCAGTCGCCTCAGATGACCAGAGAGGCTAACTGGGATTAGCCCATTCGCAGAGACGACTACAGGAATAATTTCGGTCGGCATACCACCCCACATGTCGGTCACCTCGTGAGCCAGGTCCAGATACTTTGATTGCTTATCTGTTTCGGCTTTCACGAGGTTCTCGTCATACGGGATGGTAATATCGACCAAAAATATTCTTGACTGTGCCCGGTCCATCAGCACAATATCAGGTTTATTCGCAAGAATAGTCCTGTCTGTGATGATGGCCCGGTCCCAGTAGAGCCTGGCGCGGTCATTTTCGAGCACGGCTTCCGGCAAGTACTTGTAATACGGCACTTTCCGGTCCACGAGACCGTATTTCAGAGCGAGCTCCTGGTGTAGAATTCTGGCTACTAGGTTGTGCCTGTGCAAGTACTCAGAGTTAGAAAGCGCCGAACAACCGGAGATGACATGCCTAAGTGACTCCCCGGGATGGCGACAAGCTCGACAGACGTCGACGGTGCCATCCTTTAGGATGTATCTCCGATAGTTGTTGGTCTTAATAACCTGATCTTGTATTGCACAGACAAAACCCTCGGTTTCCCCGAAAAGGTCACCGAAACGTAGCCAGTTGAGGGAGGCGACTGTATCTACGAAGGGCTCATGTAGAGCCTTGTAGTACCTCCCGTGGAGCTCCTTCTCCTTCCATACGGTCTCCCGGTCGGGAATGCTAAGCACTGCCGGGTCCTGCCATTGCTCGTTGGCTAAGGATAGAGGGGTAAGCCCTTTATCACTAGAAATGACGTCATTATAGAATGGATCATCCGATCTCGTCAAGAAGTATTGACGGAGACTGCACACTTCGCGATTATGCATGGTGAGCGCGCTCAGAAAGCCACGCCCACCATGCTTTCGCGGCAAGTACAGCCTCATTACCGACGATCTCGGATGATGCATCCTATGGGACGTCATGGTAGTGCGGACTTTTCTATCCAGGGCGTTAAGCTCAGTCTGAGTCCACCTGAGTATGCCAAAGGTATACATGAGGACAGGCATGACCCAGCAATTATATGCGTGTGACTTATTCACACCGGACAAAAGGCTGTTAAGCACTTTGGTCAAGCGTGCATAAAACACGTCGCAAACTGACTGTTTCATACCAGCCTCATCGATACCGATGTTCTGTGACATACCCAGGTATCGGTATGTTTCAGCCTCGGAAAGGGTCCTGAAGTTGACGGGCATAGACAAGTCTATGCCCTCAGAGTTAGCAACCCTTCCCCTCTCAACATGGAGGACCGCACACTTATCCGTCCCCAGCTCCATTCCAATGGAACTGCTAAATTCACAAGTGATGTTTAGCAGTTCCATAAGATGGGAGCGACTGGAGGCGAATAACTTGAGGTCATCCATATAGAAAAGGTGGGTCACTTTTGTCCCTCCTCTCCGTAGCTGAAATCCCCTCCCGGAGCCCTCCAGTAAGGTACTGAGAGGGTTTAGAGAGAGGCAGAACCAGATTGGACTCAGACAATCGCCCTGGAAGATACCCCTTTTTATCCTTATGTGGTTCTCCGCAGCCATCATCCGCTCGCCCAGATGACAAAGGATCGTACTCCACTGCCCCATACACTGCTCGAGGAAGTCTCTAACTGTACAGTCAATCTTGTACAGCTCGAGAACCCTCTTTAGCCATGTATTGGGCACCGAGTCGAACGCCTTTCTTTAGTCTATCCAGGTGGCAGTGAAGTTCCGACGGTTGCGTTTCACCACTTTGCCTATGACCGCGTCAATGAGGAGTGGTTCTTTGGTTCCACGACCACCGCCCCGACATCCATTTTGAGCGCGTGACATCAACTGGTTTAGCTCCAGGTGCCGAGTGATTCTCGCGCTCAAAATGGATGTCAGTGTCTTATATATGGTGGGTAGACACGTGATGGGGCGGTATTTGCTCGGGTCTGTGGTATCCTGATCTTTAGGAACCAAGTGAGTGATCCCAGTAGTGAAGAGGCTCGGGAGCGACTTCTGGTCGAGAGCCTCTTGAAACTGTCGGGCGAGCACAGCGTGACACACTATGAACCCCTTCAGCCAGTAATGATGCAGCCCGTCGAGCCCCGGACTTTTCCAGTTCGGGGCCCTACGGACCGCCTCAGCCACATCTTCCGGCGTTACGGTGATGGGGTCCATAGGCGTAACACTCGCACCCTGGCTCGCCACAACTTCCATCCAAGGGCCCTCGCTGTGGTTTACGGGCTCTGACCACAGGCCACGCCAGAATGCGATAATGTCTGCCTGATCCGGTCCTTGGCCCGCTCCACATACCTTTGGCCGCTCCAATGATTTATAGAGCCTCTTCTGATCACTCTGGAAGAGACGATTCTGGTTGAACCGCCTTGACCTGTCGGTAAATCGTCGAATCCGCTTCCCCAAGCAGCGATCTTTTGCTTCAGGTCGTCTATGCGCTCCGTTAGTTTCTGCGTGATATCCGGCTGGGACAAACTGATATTTGTCCCAGCAAACGCCATCCTAACGGTGCGCATAATCCTCGGTCTATTATTACCCGACCTGAAGCTTGTCAGTCTGCCGATAAGGGCCCTTGCCTTTGCGATACGGTCCTCGATTCTTTTTCTCCAGGCTGGGATGGCGCTACTTTGTGTAGTAGCGCGTCCAGCCATGGGAAGTTTGGCGCCAATAATACGGCAAACTGCCACTGCGGCGCCAAAGAGAATTGAGTTCGTCTCGCAAAGGTCCCGGCTGGCTTCCAAATAGGTCACCAGCATTGGGTTAAGAGCCCTCACGACAGCCCGATTTCGCTTGCTTAGGGGTATGCGGGAGAAGTTGCGGTCGATTTTCGATAGGGGTGCTGCGCGTTTCCAAAATCGCCTCTTTCAGTATACTCCTCATTTTCTCTAGTTCATGGGAGACTATTTCATCGTCGTTCGAATCAACCACAACGGGAAGATCCAAGGCGGCTTCCACGTGTGGATGCTGGTCTGTCGAATGTGGAGCTGCATCTCCAGCCATAGCCGATTCATTCGACGACGGAATAGCCTCACGTCGTAGTCGTCCGAGTTCGGCATCATCAAATATTTTCGAGCGCATGATGTACCGAACTCGGTCTGCCAGGTTTTGTTCCGTGACGGGGGGTAGAAGGCTCCAGCTCAGCAAAAAAGCAATGCATCCGAGACCTATACGCTATTCCCACAGTTTCTTCCCCTTTCGCCCTATAGTACGCCCGCAATGCGTTTTCATTCATAGGTTTTGTCCAACGCATGCGACGTGCTCCACCAGCGGCGGGTGCCGCTTGCTGAGTCCGGAGAAGACCCAGCCGACACCAAGCCTTCTGGTGGAGATGATGGATGCGAGGGGCTGCTAGGTGATCGTGCAGCTCCTCGCGCTCGGCTGGCGGCCCGCATGCTGCCGCGTCCAGCGCCAGCTCCAGACGCGCCCCGGCGACCCCCAGGCAGCGGCCCTATGCGCGTTCCTCTTTGTGCCATCATCCATTTTATGGGCGCCAAATAACGGGAGACGCCCAAACCCGGCACCGTTTCGTGGTTGGGTCATATGCACAAACGGACCTTTGCACCTACAATTTTGCCTAGGCACGGCGCTCACACCTCTTGGCAGGATGCTGACTGACTGCGCCGACGTAGCAGTTTTGTCACATAACTGTTACGTCAGCGGGCGATGGGGTCGTCACTTCCCTACGCCGCTTTATATATTATTATTATTATTATTATTGGGGGGTATCTATATAGTTTTCTGATCTGGTGGGTCTGATAAATATATAATTATAAATGAAAATGAAAAGATAAATATACATAAATATCAATAAAATAAAATAAATACAAAAATACATAAATAAATAAAAGCCACTTCGCGATTATGCAGAAAACCACGCCCACCATACTTTCGCGGCAAGTACAGCCTCATTACCGACGATCTCGGATGATGCATCCTATGGGACGTCATGGTAGTGCGGACTTTTCTATCCAGGGCGTTAAGTTCGGTCTGAGTCCACCTGAGTATGCCATAGGTATATATGAGGACAGGCATAACCCAACCGTTATATGTCTTATTCACACCGGACAAAAGGCTGTTAAGCACATTGGTCAAGCGTGCATAAAACACGTCGCAAACTGACTGTTTCCTACCAGCCTCATCGATACCGATGTTCTGTGACATACCCAGGTATCGGTATGTTTCAGCCTCGGAAAGGGTCCTTAAGTTGACGGGCATAGATAAATCTATGCCGTCAGAGTTAGCAACCCTTCCCCTTTCAACATGAAGGACCGCATACTTATCCGTCCCCAGCTCCATTCCAATACAATTGCTAAATTCACAAGTGATGTTTAGCAATTCCATAAGATGGGAGCGACTGGAGGCGAATAACTTGAGGTCATCCATATAGAAAAGGTGGGTCACTTTTGTCCCTCCTTTCCGTAGCTGAAATCCTCTCCCGGATCCCTCCAGTAAGGTACTGAGAGGGTTCAGGGAGAGGCAGAACCAGATTGGACTCAGACAATCACCCTGGAAGATACCCCTTCTTATCCTTATGTGGTTCTCCGCAGCCATCATCCGCTCACCCAGATGACAAAGGATCGTACTCCACTGCCCCATACACTGCTCGAGGAAGTCTCTCACTGTACAGTCAATCTTGTACAGCTCGAGGACCCTCTTTAGCCATGTATGGGGCACCGAGTCGAATGCCTTTCTGTAGTCTATCCAGGCTGCGGAGAAGTTCCGACGGTTGCGTTTCACCACTTTGCCAATGACCGCGTCAATGAGGAGTGGTTCCTTGGTTCCACGACCACTGCCCCAACATCCATTTTGAGCGCGTGACATCACCTGATTTAACTCCAGGTGACGAGTGATTCTCGCGCTCAAAATGTATGTCAGTGTCTTATATATGGTGGGTAGACACGTGATGGGACGGTATTTGCTCGAATCTGTGGTATTCTGATCTTTAGGAACCAAATGAGTGCTCCCAGTAGTGAAGAGGCACGGGAGCGACTTCTGATTGAGAGCCTCTTGGAACTGTCGGGCGAGCACAGCGTGATACACTACGAACCCCCTCAGCCAGTAATGATGCAGCCCGTTGAGCCCCGGACTTTTCCAGTTCGGGGCCCTACGGACCGCCTCAGCCACGTACTCAGGCGTTATGGTGACGGGGTTCAAAGGCATAACACTCGCACTCTGGCTCGCCACAACTTCCATCCATGGGCACTCGTTGTGGTTTACGGGCTTTGACCACAGGCCACGCCAGAATGCGATAATGTCAGCCTGATCCGGTCCTGGGCCCGCTCCACATACCTCTAGTCGCTCCAATGATTTATAGAGCCTCTTCTGATCACTCTGAAAGAGACGATTCTGGTTGAACCGCCTTGACTTCTCGCTAAATCGTCGAATCCGCTTCCCCCAAGCATCGATTTTTTGCTTCAGGTCATCTATGCGCTCCGTTAGTTTCTGCGTGATATATGGCTGTATGACAAACTAATATTTGTCCCAGCGAACGCCATTCTAACGGTGCGCACAACTCTCGGTCTATTATTACCATTCCTGAAGCTTGTCAGTCTGCCGATAAGGGCCCTTGCCTTTGCGATACGGTCCTCAAATCTCTTTTTCCAGGCTGGGATGGCGCTACTTTGTCGAGTAGCACGTCCAGCCGTAGGAAGTTTGGCGCCAATAATACGGCATATTGCCAGTGCGGCGCCAAAAAGAATTGAGTCCGTCTCGCTCTCAAAGGCTCGCTGCTCAAAGGTCCCGGCTGGCTTTCAAATAGGTCACCAGCATTGGGTTAAGAGCCCGCACGACAGCCCGATTTCGCTTGCTAAGGGGTATGCGGGGAAGTCGCGGTCGATTTTCGAGAGGCATGCTGCGCGTTTCTAGCATCGACTCTTCCAATATGCTCCTCATTTTCTCTAGTTCGTGGGGGGCTATTTCATCATCGTCTGAATCAACCACAAATGGAATATTGACGGCAGCATCCACATTTGCAGTTTGCTGCGCAATTAGTGGCGCCGCATTCCCAGCCGTAGCATTTCCATTCGATGAGGAAACGGCCTCACGTCGTAGTCGTTCGAGTTCGGCGTCACCAAATATGTTGGAGCGCAGGATGTACCGAACTCGGTCTGCCAGGTTTTGCTCAGTGACGGATAGAGTTGGCTCCAGCTCTCCAAACAAGCGATGCATCCGAGCCCGATATGCCAAACATCTGGTTTCTTCCCCTTTTGCCCTAAAGTACGCCCGCAGTGCGTTTGCGTTCATTATTTGTGACCAAAGCATGCGACGTGCTCCACCAGCGGCAGGTGCCGCTTGCTGAGTCCGAGAATACCCATCCGACACCAAGCCTTCTGGTGGGGATGATGGATGCGGAGGGCTGCTAGGTGATCGTGCAGCTCCTCGCGCTCGGCTGTTGGCGCACGAGGATGCTGCCGCGTCCAGCGCCAGCTCCAGACGCACCCGTTTTCTGATCTCCAAACTGAGTGAATCTCATTATAATAAATTCAATGCATTCTTAAGTTATATTACAAAATTTAAATATGTACAAAAAAGGGGAAATGCGACTCAAACCGCAAAAAAATGGGACGTTTTTGGATGTAATGCAGAGTATACTAAGAGTAGCTCAAAGCTGGCTTAAACCTTTTCAGTCCCGGAATTTTGATGTCAAAGATGTAGCTTGCTCTGGTCGCCCCCATAGGGATAGTGTCGATGCCATTTTTGAAAAAGTGGAGTCGCAAGATCGGCATATTAGTAGTTCGGAAGTAACCGAGGCATTGAGGATTAAGCACAAAACAGTTTCGACCTATTTCAAAAAGTATGGCTATAAAAAAAAGCTCGTTATTTGGGTACCACACGAGCTCACTGAAAGAAACCTAATGAATCATGTACTCATGAGCGATTCTCTATTGAAACGTAATGAAACCCATTGATGTATATATTACACTATATTAGTAATTACCGTGCCAATGCGTTGCCATGTGCAGTGGCAATTCAATTGGAAACGGCGTTCAATGTGACGCCGACCGAGTTGAGCCGAAAGATCCGCGACAAAAAATGGGTAAATGCGTAGTGAAAGAATACGATTCAAGGTCATAAAAACGTAATAAATCAAGCGGAATCATTTTCCGTTCATTAGTTTGAGTTCATATTTTCATATAAACGTAAAAACCTCAAATAATTTAAAATTAATACATATAAGACATTGACAAAAAAAAAGTAAAGAACACTTTCCCGCCATTTTTGAATTGTTTTTCTGACCTCCAAACTGAGTGAATCTAATGAATAAATTCAATGCATTCTTAAGTTATATTACAAAATTTAAATATATACAAAAAAGGCGAAATGCGACTCAAACCGCAAAAAAAATGGGGATCTAATGCAGAGTCTACTAAGAGTAGCTCAAAGCTGGCTTAAACCTTTTCAGTCCCGGAATTTTGATGTCAAAGATGTAGCTTGCTCTGGTCGCCCTCATAGGGATAGTGTCGGTGCCATTTTTGAAAAAGTGGAGTCGCAAGATCGGCATATTAGTAGTTCGGAAGTAGCCGAGGCATTGAGGATTAAGCACAAAACAGTTTTGACCTATTTCAAAAAGTATGGCTATAAAAAAAGCTCGTTATTTGGGTACCACACGAGCTCACTGAAAGAAACCCAATGAATCATGTACTCATGAGCGATTCTCTATTGAAACGTAATGAAACCCATTGATGTATATATTACACTATATTAGTAATTACCGTGCCAATGCGTTGCCACTGCACATATGGCCACAGCCTAGCTAGCGTCAGTTCAGTGTTCAATGTGACGCCGACCGAGTTGAGCCGAAAGATCCGCGACAAAAAATGGGTAGTGCGTAGTGAAAGAATACGATTCAAGGTCATAAAAACGTAATAAATCAAGCGGAATCATTTTCCGTTCATTAGTTTGAGTTCATATTTTCATATAAACGTAAAAACCTCAAATAATTAAATAAAATTATTGAACATTGCGATTTAGGTTCAATGTTGCCACTTTTCCGCCTTCGTAATTATCCCACATTAGTAGACTATATAATTAACGGAGTAAGTTAATTTGTAACCTCTGATTTTAAATATTTTGGAAATTATAATAAAAACTAAGTTATAACTAATACAAAATAGTTAATTTTTCTTATTTTAGTTTATTCATGATATATTTTTAATATATTTTATTATAATTTTAATACAATTATATTTTATGACCCATTTTATATTGCTTTATTTATAAGTACAATAACAAATACTTAAAAAACATGTTTTACTTCATCAGTTGTGCTTACTTCTTCATCTGATAAGAAAATATACTTTTTTTTTAAACAAAAACAATTAACTGCAGCTTGAAAAGTACTCCTTTTTATTGCGTATTTTTGGTGAAATTTTATATAGTAAGCCACACCTACCCGCCGTTGCTTGTTTGTGTGTCTATCTTTATCTAATCTTAACGACGGTATTGTTTTCGCAACTTGTGTAAGTGAGACACATGTTTAATTAAAATATTTAATAATTTCAAAACTACGTCGTCGCGGTTAGATAGTGGTTATGTAGTGTGCAAAATATTGATTGATGTATATATTACTTTGTAAATAACAGTAAAATAGTTAATTGTTTAGTGTAATTGTAATATTTAATTTTAAATTATTTCTATATAAATTTATATTTCATAATTACGGACATACCATTCTACAGAAATTATTATATATATTAAGTATTAGCAGTGGCTATTGTTTAATGCAGCGGTCGGTGCAAGGTCGACTTAACAACAGCAAACTGGTTCACCGCTGGCTGCCCTTGCTACGAGAGTTCGCACCACACCACCAATACGTTTACGTATGCCATACTGTTCGTTGTTGACTGTTTACTCATGATAAGAAACTGTTATAATAATTAATTCGTTTGCTTGAGACTCTTGAGACTTGTAACTTGTGTAAATTATAATTACTTAAACTGAAAGACTATTGAATTTTATTTTACTTACACAAGCAGCATAACAAATATTAAATTGAACTATAGTTACACTTTTTTCGACGCGCGGTAATAATGTGGTTTGCTCCTCTAGTTACGTGTAACTCAATGATGAAACCGAACTATTTTTGAAGAGATTGGTCACTGCTGAGACCCACCTACGAGAAGAATGTGCGAATAAGATCATGGTCAAAGGGTAGTCAAGCTCCACAGATTGTAGCGAGACCTGTGATGCTGTTCTGTTATTCTGTTGATGTGTTTATTATGAGCTTTTACAGCGGGGCAAACCTATCGATTCGGATCTCTACTGTCAACAACTAATGAGACTAGCAAGAAATTGAAAAAATCCGGCCAGAAATTATCAACAGAACAGGAGAAACACACATTAAATTTATAATAAACTGCAAAAAGCAATGACGTAAATTACTAGTATTTCCAGACAATTACACAGAAAATATTCGTTTCCACAGCTCGTAAAAAGTTATTCGCTTGACATGAGTGTCAAATTAATACCTCATTGTATGATAATAACTTCCTGGTTACTAATTGGCGCCATTTTGTTTTTTGTTGTAAATAACTTCGTCTGTTTTTAACAGTGGGAATATGATATAGTACATGAAATAGAATAACCATTCAAACAGTGGAATATACTAAATTAATATCTTTCAGACCGAATTTCGATCATGCCGGCCAGTCTCAACGGAGACCACCATCTGCATAGGACTGGATTATAGTGCCCGAGTTATGCGCAAACACATGTACACATTTAATCCCCTTACTCTCATACTCCGTTACGACCAGTATCAAGGACCAACGACTTAACGTGCTTTCCGCGGCACGGGAGTAAAACACCTTCTATTTCCTGACGCCAGGCTGTTTATTGAAAATTTCTTGACTAAAAACCTAATAACTAATTATGGCCGTCCCGGCATTCGAACCCGAGACTTTATGATAGACAATCGCGGGTACGAACACTAAACCAATGAGGTTACCCCACTTTGGGGGGAGGGGAATAAATTTTAATTTTTAGCTTATAAATGTCGCAGATAAAATTGCGTGACTCCTTTAAATTAAAAATAATGAAAATATAAAAATAGTGCCGTCACTGAGAACCTATACTCACCTTCGGATTACACCATCAAAAAGGTAACATCATAACAGTCATCTAGGTCTTTATGAGCCGTTTCAAATGAATCCAAACACACGGGTTCTATGGAGTAACGTCACTGAGATCTTAAACCCACCTTCGAAGTCCACCATCAGCTAGGTGATATCATCACAGTCATCTAGGTTTTCACGAACCTTTTTGAAAATGAGTTGAAAAGAAACACGATAGTTCTACGTAGCATCACTGAGATCCTTTACTCACCTTCTGATTCTCTCTTCTTCTTCTGAAAATCTCTAAATATATAAAATAATAAAAAATCTAAACAGCATAGAAATAATGTAAGTAGCTACTAAGAAATTAAGTACTTTTACCAGTAATTTAAACGAAAAATCTTTTTAGTTGTACTGTTTCTTTCCGGCTGCCTTTAAAATTAATACATATAAGACATTGACAAAAAAAAAGTAAAGAACACTTTCCCGCCATTTTTGAATTGTTTTTCTGACTTCCAAACTGAGTGAATCTAATGAATAAATTCAACGCATTCTTAAGTTATATTACAAAATTTAAATATATACAAAAAAGGCGAAATGCGACTCAAACCGCAAAAAAATGGGGATCTAATGCAGAGTCTACTAAGAATAGCTCAAAGCTGGCTTAAACCTTTTCAGTCCCGGAATTTTGATGTCAAAGATGTAGCTTGCTCTGGTCGCCCTCATAGGGATAGTGTCGGTGCCATTTTTGAAAAAGTGGAGTCGCAAGATCGGCATATTAGTAGTTCGGAAGTAGCCGAGGCATTGAGGATTAAGCACAAAACAGTTTTGACCTATTTCAAAAAGTATGGCTATAAAAAAAGCTCGTTATTTGGGTACCACACGAGCTCACTGAAAGAAACCCAATGAATCATGTACTCATGAGCGATTCTCTATTGAAACGTAATGAAACCCATTGATGTATATATTACACTATATTAGTAATTACCGTGCCAATGCGTTGCCACTGCACATATGGCCACAGCCTAGCTAGCGTCAGTTCAGTGTTCAATGTGACGCCGACCGAGTTGAGCCGAAAGATCCGCGACAAAAAATGGGTAAATGCGTAGTGAAAGAATACGATTCAAGGTCATAAAAACGTAATAAATCAAGCGGAATCATTTTCCATACATTAGTTTGAGTTCATGTTTTCATATAAACGTAAAAACCTCAAATAATTAAATAAAATTATTGAACATTGCGATTTAGGTTCAATGTTGCCACTTTTCCGTCTTCGTAATTATCCCACATTAGTAGACTATATAATTAACGGAGTAAGTTAATTTGTAACCTCTGATTTTAAATATTATGGAAATTATAATAAAAACTAAGTTTTAACTACCATACAAAATAGTTAATTTTTCT